GCGTCACCCTCGGTGAGCCAGACCGCAGGAATCTGAGGAAAGCGAAGATAACCTGCTGGGGCTTGCAGGCTCTGGTCGGCGGCCTGTGCTTCTGCCAGACAGCGAGCTGACGAAACGCAGGAATCCTGCGAAGGGAGCGACACAGGAGGGAAGGTGCGGATCTGCAGCAGGCAGGGGCTGTAAACAGGGCTACTTACGTCATCTTATGGGAAGGAACAGAGCCCAGAACAAGATCAGCAAAAGAGAGCTCCCATGAATGACCTCCGGCTCAGGCTGCCGCACATCTGTCACGGGTCGCTCTGGGTGAAAATCACACACGTGGACATGGAGCAGGCAAAGACTGTGAGCTCAGTGCTGCCTGCAGCTTAAAGCTAGCAGATACGCATTCCTCTGACGGCACACGTCTGCCGGCGCTCCCCACAGGCACGTTTACACACCCCTCCCAATCCCGCCAGTGCTCACGCACGCCTGGGTTTCATTACAGCCACCTGGGACCATGGAACACTCACGCAAGAAGGTATCGGTGTCACTCACAGGGGCCAGACCAGCGTCCTGAGGAGCCCAAGCCCAGGGAACGTTCCGGGGGCGATCCAGCTGGCAGAGCAGTGGGCGAAGGAGGACTGGGAAGCTGCTGCTTTCAGAAGAGGCTTGATGCTTTACTCTGAAGCGAGCAAGTGTCCGCACACTTAAAGATTCAATGCAGACGTTAAGGAAAAGCCCAGCTAAGCAGGACAAAGATGCAGAGCAGCAAAGCCAGGTGCAGCATTCCAGAAGCCCTGCTACAACCCAAAGTGTGTAAGACACCCCACAGCAGCCTTTACTGGTAGCCGAGGGAGATTCACGACTGCAGAAGCTGGTCAGGGTTTCCCTGAGTCAGGAAGACAGCTGCAGAAGCTGGTCGGGGACAACCTGAGCCAGGAAAAGGGCTGCAGGCCTGGAAGCCAGGAAGACACTAGAGAAATTAGCCAAGAACATCCAGAGCCAGGGAGGTGGATGCAGAAGCTGGTAGAGGACACCCAGAACCTGGAGAACATGTGGGATCTGTATGTCAAGGGTGCTCTCAAATTCCATGGGGTGTGGAGGGCAACTCATTTATCTATAAGGTGTGAGACTTTCACCCCTCCTCCATCAGTACGAGTGCTTTTAACAACACAGACCTGCTTTCCAATCAAAACAGAAGATGTGTCTTAAAATAAGGGAGACGGGAGCCAAGCTAATCACAGTAAACGCTCAGAGCAGAAGACCAGCAAATGAAAGTCTGCAGCTGAAGGTCATCAAGGGCCTGCTAGCGGGAACTCCCAACTGAACCGTAAAATGCAGGACGGCTCCCAATCAGGACGGTCACCATGCCAGGGAGATATGGCAACTCGGTCACACAGGGGAGACCACCGGTCTGCCCACCCTCCCCTGGAGCCCCCAGTGGCCTGACCCCTACCGGCCCCTATCTGTTCACCGGGCTGGAGAAGGGGGAAGCACCGCCCCCCATTTGGAGCTCGAGCTTGCCACGTTAACAGGCAGACGACTCGAGGCGGCCAGCAGCTGCCTCAAAGGTGCAGTGGGACGGCTTCCCGGATCAGGAGACGTTGAACCAGGCCCAGGAAGCAGCACGGCCCCCCCGATCCCTTCGAGTATTTCATTCTTTCCATTCCCTCCACTCACTCCCTTTCCCAGCCTGCTCTCTCATCTGGCTCCATTAAGGTGAACCTGAGCCCCACCTGAAGAGGACGCGAGGAGGGATGAGCAGCGTCTCCGGAGCCACATCAAGCCAGACGCTTAACGGCTTCTTCTCCGTGCGAAGCCCGGCCGGCTGGAAGCTAGAGGCTGCCACCAGTGGCACACGGAAACAGGGGCAAACGGAAGCAGCCACACGACCCGCATCACTTTTATGAGACTGAAATGGGACACTTGGAATGGAGCAACTAGCCGATAAAAGAAAAGCTTAGAAAATCTTAATTATTAACAGGTCGAAGGGCCAGAGCCACCCTGGGCTTAGTGACATTTACTCTGTGTATCGAGACGCAGGCACAGAGACGCAGGCACAGAGACGCAGGCACAGAGACGCAGGCACAGAGACGCAGGCACAGAGACGCAGGCACAGAGACGCAGGCACAGCCTCACATGGCGGCCTTGTACAGAACCCACTCCCTGCCTTTCATTCCCTTCAACCGGCCCAGTTCGGTCTCATCCACCTCAAAGACACATTTTTAAAAGCCACAAGTGTATAAATTCTGCTGAGTCTGCAAACGCTGCACCCAAACCAATTCATTCTTAGTGGAATCCTCCTTAAGCTTTGGGAAAGAACGTTTAGGGGATATAAACGCTGGAATTATATTCACTCGAAGGACAACAAAGCAGCAATTAAACATCAGGAACGTCTCGAAAAACGGAGAAAGAGAAAAGCAGTCATACAACAACACAGCAGTGATACAAAGCCAAACACAAAGACAATGACAAGGTGGGAAGGGGCAATATTGAATTTCCCCCAGGTCATCTTCCCTACCCTTTCACAGAAACGAGACATTCGAAGAGCTGGCCTGATTTTACACAATACAGTCCCAGAAGACAGAGGGGATTCTGGGAAAAAGCATCGACACTGGGATGGGAGGGTTACAGCCATTACCGCTTGTAACTTGAGTACCTCCATTCATCGGCTGAATCTCCCAGAAGGAAACGTGCCGCCGCCGCCACCCCCCCCGCAGAAAACCCGCCCCGGAGCTGCTTCTGCAGGCTGGCCTGTTGTAGCCTGCACTTCTGGAGAAAGCATGACAGACTGGCGGAACTGGAGACACGATCCGGCATGTGCTGTCAGAATGACAGCGCCCTGTCCCCGTTCAGGTGACCAGATGGGGGGCTGCGACCCAAAGGGTATAGGAGAGCAAACAACCTCTAAGATTAACCCACTGCAGCCTTCAGGGTCTCTGCCAGTAACATCCTGAGGAGACCAGTAACAATGAAAAGCATGGACTTCTAAATAGTTTCTCCCCAATTTGCCCCTTTAAACAACCATTTCAAATAATGACTAATTCAACATCCCTCGCCCTTGAGCAATTAAATAACATTTAAATTAATGAATCCATTTAAAAGGTAACAGCTGTTGCAGGTCCTTGAAAAACATTGATAAGAGTCAGATTACGTCAAAGCCCAGCTGACTGCAATGCCTCTACACAGTGAAGAAAAAGCCTCAACTTCATCTTCTGTTATCTACGGAAAATAATTTGAAAAGCTACCTGTGGGATAGAGTTGCAGAATTTTCTGGAAAGGATCTTTACATGGAATAGCGTATAGATGATGGTAGGATTCAGACTGTGACACTCTCGACTGGAGATCATCTTGTCTGGTTTAGCTGAAGGAAGCCACTGAACTGCACACTGCACTCTCCAGTGAAATCGGAAGAGCTCCAGAAGACTTGGACTGGCCGGCAAGCAGAGAACGTATTAATTTTAATTAAAAACTTTGGCATCAACACCAGAACTCTTTAACGAAATGATTAAATAAAGATGCATCAAAAACAGACTTCAAGCAATTCAAGCTAGCTTCACTGGTATTGGTCTAACCATAAACTAGAAGGCATAGACCTAATTAACCCCCCACTCCAGTATCTACAAGTTGAGGCTGTAATCAGCATTAGCCTCGTCACCTAAACCTGGTCCAGTACCTCCCAGTCTGCACACCCATCTGACCTGATTCTATGTGGGTCAGTATTTCAGCAGACTGGTATAGTTTGTTACAGCTCACTTACGATGACTACAATGACTATCCTCACACAACACCCAGCTCCCGTTGTGAAATCAAAGCCAGTACACACCTTCTCTCATAGTTTGAAGTCACACTGGACCTTATCTCACAGAACTAAACCATTTCAGAATTAAACTAGACAACCGTTATTTTTTTTTTGCAGCGACAATGTAAACTGTAATTTTGGGGGAATTTGTGTAATTACCATGATTTGAAGCTTGTGGTTCGAGGTCCAGCCTTGCATCCTGACTTCTAATGACAGGTTGTGTCGGGTTCACACAACAGACATGACGGACCACAGGGGAAGTATGAAATTATCTCTCAATACTAGAAGGCAGATGAAGGTCACAGGCTTGTCCAGCAACCAAGATGTGCCGAACGTGAAATTAGCTCTCAGTTCATTTCGAACAATGTCTGTTCCTCATGCTTAACTTGAAACAGGTTTGGCGTGTTGCATCCAATGAGTTTCATCACTCCTTTTAGATGGAACTGGTCAACTTTGGCTGCACGCCACGCTTATGCTGAATTTCCAAACTCACCAACATGCCCAAACAGTTACCCTGCCAAGCGAAAAATTAGCCCACTTATCAACAACCTCTGTGGGATCCAGGATTCAGAGTGGCTGAACCACCATGCTGAAGAAATTCAAAGCAGAATTTAAAACGCGCAAAATAGCAGCCAGAAATCTCTGTGATTGGTGTCGAAGGGGCTCTGAGCGCAAACATCTACCGCGAGGAATCTACTGCAGGCAAAGGCATTTAATCAGCTTTTAGATTAGAAAGTGTGCATGCAGCTGAACCCACTCTAACCTACTACCAGAACAACATCTTTAAATAAAAATAAAACCAAGAATAACGCACGTGACCAAACCCTGTTCCGGCAATAATAAAATATATTCACTGGACATAGAGAAACAGCATGTTGAGACCCCGTATGTGTCCTGGTCCAACTGGAACCGGGTCCATCTCCTCACACCGAGCCGCTGCGGCAGGACACTGTGACCTTGAGTTAAGAGCTCAAAGGGTTCTGATCCAGAAATTATATCCATTAGCCCTCAATGGACGACATCACACCTGCCATCTATGTGACTGGACACCGGCATTAATTAAGTAATCAATTAGATATCTGTCTGAATGATTAAAGGATGGACCAGCGGTCTGACTGCCAGCTGCCGGACCGCGCGGAAGCGACAAGGGGCGGGTATTGGCCGTCAGAACAGCGCCTCCCGGTTCGGTTCGGCGCGGCTCGGCTGGCTAAAGGCTTACTTCTCAGCGCCTGAATGAGCGCCTTGCCGTCCTTGATGAGCTCTTTGATGAACTTGTTCGTCCTGTCCAGCTCCAGCTCATGAGACTTCAGCCTGTCGCGGAACTGGGGGCTGTCCAGGTAGCAGTCGCTAAACTCCAGGGCGGGCAGCCCCATGTCTGCGCCGGGACCAAAGCCGCAGCAGCCGCCGGGCGTGAGCAAATCCTTCAGGGGAGTCGCTACTCGCGAGCCAGCTGGTCAGTATCCAAACTACCGGGAGGAGAGAAGAAAAGAAACGCCGCCCCCCGCTGACTGCTTAACCCTCAAGGCGACCGCAGAATGTCCGCTGGCGAACCGGGTACCGCTGCTTACGCTGCCGGGCGAAGCACCGCCGGCTCTCCGGCTGGGGTGGGTACGCGACTCGCTACGGCTGGCGCGGCTCCAAGCCCACCTATGCCATGTTTAATCCATACACAGCGCCGTAAGCACGGCAGTCCTGCGACAGGGATGTGCGGACGCCGTCATCCTGCAGGGAGCGAAGCGAACGGGCTACAACACAGAGCGACGGACACGGATTCCTTCCGCGGCTCTTTAACCGCGGCCGCGCGATCCAGACGCAGGCTCAGCACCAACCTACCCTGAATCAGGACATCATATGACTGACAGCTAGACGGGCCAATGTCAGTGCAGCATCCCGGCGCCCTCTGCCCAGTGAGGTCCATCCGCGTCCGCTGGTTGGTTGGCTGTATACTGAAGAAAGATGATGTCATGCTTGGGCGGGGAGTCTAAATCCGAAGCGAATTCGTTTCACACAGATGCGCCTTTCCTGGTCGTATTCCTTTACGTTCTATTCAGTCTAGGGGCTTTGAGAAGGTAAAACGTCATGTGAAAATTCGGACACAGTTGTAAGGCGTCACACTCAGAAAGAGTATTAATGTGATTGATTAGTCTACGTATCCATCCATCTAACAATCGCTTACCTTGATCAGGATCATGGGAGGCCTAGAGCCAATCCCAGGCAGCACATGGCACAGACTGGGGTTCACCATGGACGGGATGGCAGTCGATCGCAGGGCACATCAAACCCATATAACCTGAAATGTTTTTCTGAAATATCCACATATACAAATGGGGAGAAACAAGAGCATAAGCTAAGTGAATTAATGTAATGCATGACAATAAAAAATAAGTACTGCGGCAGTCTTCTTTAAACCTGATTCCTGTTGATGTGACAACCCAAAATGTGTCAAAATATATACCATGCTCCGGTTTGAACATTTTTAAATCACTTACCTATTCTAAAAAATCCCTTCACCTCTACGGCCATCTGCTGGCGAATATGAGTACTGTACAACTGCCCCCCCCC